TACAACTAGCAAAGAAGACTCATCAGAATTTAGGATCTCAATGATCCCATTGTCACCAAGGTCTTCCCACACTTCCCAGCCCAACTTACAGGATCCCAGACGCCCTGTGAGGCTGCGAGTTCAATTTGTGTTGCAACTCAGCCAATCACAGGATGAGGTTTTGTATTTGATTTTTGGCAATTTTAGTCCTGTGTCTACAGGAGATAGGGGGTCTCCCACAGGGCTCGCATGGAAGGTCCTGGGTCATTTATATGATGTTGTGAGTTGGGAAATCAAATTCCTGAGCTCCTCCCTTTCTTTCACCACTTTGTCAAGCAACATTAGGAACAACTAACCAACATCACTATGGTCCTTAAGTTTCCAAAAATGTTTGGAAGTATCATGTACAGAATCACTTAGCTCCTTGCTTTCTATAGGTGATTGAGTAGGAGCAGCCAGTGTAGATGTTTTACATATCTACATAAACAGTTCACCCCATAGACTATCAGTGCTCTCTTTACAACTGGAAATACAGTCATTAGTGAATTGGAATCTAATCATATCTGAGAACAAATTCCAGAAACCCAAGAACCAATCAGGAAACTCCTCCATAAAATTCTGTTCCACTAGAACCACTCTTGCTACCCAAATCTATATTAATTATTGCTCTCCGAAGAAACAGAACCAAAAAAAAAAAAAAAAAAAGAAACAGAGATGGGAAGAGACTTATTATGACAGATTGCTCATATCCTTATGGAGGCTGAGAAGTCTCCTGACCTGCAGTCTACAAGTCTACTGGCCTCTCTTATAGTTGTAGGTCAAGCCCGAAGCCCTCAAAACCAGGGAACCAATAGCCAAGAATGAGCGAAAACAGATGTCTCTAACTAGCCTTAGACTACTTACTGGCGTCTTACGGGAGCTTTTATGCACTAACAGGCCCTCAATGTTGCATATTTGTAAATGACAGTCAAGAGGAAATTTATCAAAACATAATCACAGCCAAGGCTCAGGCCCAAGAAGCAGCTCGTAGCTTATATTCCACCAGAGAAAGATTGGTTTGAATCTCTTTTTTAAGTGTTTTCGTCCACTTACTAGATGGCCTAGGCCACTTAAGGGACTCACCTTCTTCATGTTATTTCTTCTTTTTTTTTTTTAATTTTTAAAATGTTTTTATTTGTTTCTTGGAGAGAGAAAGAGAGAGAGACAGAGAGAGAGAGAGACAACGTGAGCAGGGGAAGGAAAGAGACACAGAATTGGAAGCAGGCTCCAGGCTCCGAGCTGTCAGCACAGAGCCCAACATGGGGCTCGAACCCACGAACCGTGTGATCATGACCTGAGCTGAAGTCGGACGCTTAACCGACTGAGCCCCCCAGGCGCCCCTTCATGTTATTTCTAATGGTCATTCTTTTAAGAGCATCGGTGTCTTTGTGGAGCAGCTGTGCTCCTACTGCTGCTCCCAGCACTACTGGCCTCCTTGGTCAACTTGCTGACCACCTTGACCCCCAAACCTCACAGAGCGGGAAGCAACGATCGGACCTTTCTCAAGGACTCGGCGTGACAAATGATGCTCTGTGAGAAAGACGTCTGCTCTTTCCCCTGATAAAACAAGGGACTGAGAAGGGCAGCACTCTGGGCACGGCTCTGTCCACACCCCTTCACTGAGAGACCTGACCAAACTCTCGATCAGCTTCTAGAGCAGCTTAAGGTCATATCTCTAGCATCCCCTGAGGCCCCCTTAAAATGCCCGCCTGACAGAGCTGAGCGCTGGCAGGAGAACTTACTCGCCAGGACCCGAGACAGGCCCTTAGCCTCCTTTCTTAGAGCATCTGCTAAAAAGGGCTTAACATTGTGAACCCCCCACCTGTCCCCTTGAGGGGGTATGTACATCCTACCACTCGGGAGTCTTTCCCAAGGATCTGAAAGCCACTCTTCTGAGATGACATTTGCAGGAAGGATAGGACTTCTGTCTCTGAGGCCCTGTGCAAGAGGCTAGCTTCCTGGACGACAGACAGAGGGCAGGCGTCTGCTGCTCTAATCACATGGTACCTTTGTACTCTTTCACCTCCCTGATCTACTTGAGTCCTGCATGGTCCTCTCCCTAATCCTTTGTTCTCCCTTTAAAACCTCCATTTATCTGTGTGCAAATCAGAATGGAGTTCAGCTCTTTACCCTATGGCTCATAGTTACTGAACAGAATTTGTTTTCACTGCTTTAACTAATGCCCAGCTTTATCTCTGACACTGGGTAGGCCATACATACATGCACAAAGAGAGAGAGAGTCTAATTAGATATTGTGACATTGACTCTTTGCTCACTATCGCATATTTCCTTAAATTTTTATTCTTAAGGACACCTGGGTGGCTCAGTCGGTTAAGCATCCAACTAAGGTCATGGTCTCTCGGCTCGAGTTCGAGCCCCACATCAGGCTCTGTGCTGACAGCTGAGAGCCTGGAGCCTGCTTCAGATTCTGTGTCTCCCCTCTCTCTCTCTGCCCCTACCCTTCTTGGTCACTCTCTCTCTCTGTCTCTCAAAAATAAATAAATGTTTAAAAAAATAAAAAAAATTACTCTTAAGTTTTACTCTTAAATATATATTTATATGTATATATCAAGTGTTTATATACATATATAAAATAAACATATATATATATTATATATGTGTATTACTCTGAAATCTGATTTTCCTCTATCATCTGATGAAACTCAAGAAATATCTGTGAAATATATGAATGAATGACCATTTATATATTTTGCCCATTTTTCTATTTGGTTGTACATCCTTTAAAATTTTTTTTTTTAAGTTTATTTATTTTTGAGAGAAAGAGAGAGAGAGAGAGAGTGCATGAGCAGGGGAGGGGCAGAGTGAGAGAGAGGAAGACACAGAATCTGAAGCAGGCTCCAGGCTCTGAGCTGTCAGCACAGAGTCCAATATGGGGCTCAAACCCACAAACCAAGAGATCATGATCTCAGCCAAAGTCAGAGGCTTACCTGACTGAGCCACCCAGGTACCACTATGTTATTCACTTCTATATATTAAATATTTGTCACTATTTATTCCTCCAAATTTGTCTAGACGCCTAGAGTACAATTTCCCTCTTTATATTTATGAATATTTCTCTTTTTGATACATATTTTTATGTATGCCTATTTGGGTTTAAATATCATAACTTGTATTATTTGTCAATTAATATAACTGTCTCTCTCAAAAATAAACATTAAAAATTAAAAAAGAATTGAATAACATACAATGCATCAATGTTTTATGTGAATAAGTATAGTAGTTTCTTGATAAGGGGCGCCTGAGTGGCTTAGTCGGTTAAGTGTCCGACTTTCGCTCAGGTCATGATCTCGCGGTTCGTGGGTTCGAGCCCCGCATCGGGCTCTGTGCTGACTGCCAGCTCAGAGCCTGGAGACTGTTTCAGATTCTGTGTCTCCCTCTCTCTGACCCTCCCCTGCTCACGCTGTCTCTCTCTCTCTCTCCCCTAGAAATAAATAAAAATATTGAAAAAAAAAAAAGTTTCTTGATAAGCATGCTATTGTCCTGATTAAAAAATACTGTTTCAGGAAATATTTAATATTTGATCACATTTTACTTGTTAAAAGTCAAATATATCAATCAATAAAATTTGTATTACTTACCTAATTCTTCTTGAAAATCTTTTATTTTTTTAAAAAATGTTAATGTTTGGGGCACCTGGGTGGCTCAGACAGTTGAGTTTCTGACTTCAGCTCAGGTCATGATCTCGAGGTTCACAAGTTCGAGCCCCGCATCAGGCTCTGTGCTGACAGCTCCGAGCCTGGAGCCTGCTTTGGATTCTGTGTCTCCCTCTCTTTCTGCCCCTTCCCCACTCCCACTCTGTCTCTCTCTCAAAAATAAAGATTAAAAATATTTTTGAAAAACAGCAAAACTTTCCCTTTTAGCCTTCCGTACTGTGGGTTACAGCTGTGAACAATTAAAAGGATCTGTCGCCTTCCATCAAGGCTGATTAATGACCTGGAGAAGAAATTGCCAGCGTGAGAGCCTTCTAGGCACCACACGTACAGCCACACCTGAAACTGCTCCTGCCAATGTGGGGAAGCATCTTGTTTTTGGTTTTTATATTTTATAAACGTAGACTTTCTGCAATTAATTTCTATTTGTTTAAACACTGCATTCAAATATTATTTATTTTGATCACAGAAATTTTTGCACCCCCTTAAATCGCTCCCGAGGTGAGAGCTTCATTTTCCTCACTCTAATCCTGGCACTAATTAAAAAGAACTCTTGATTTTTGTTTTATTTGTTTGTTTGTTTGTTGTTGTTGTTTTTAATGTTTTATTTATTTCTGAGAGAGAGAGAGAGAGAGAGACAGAGCATGAGCAGGGAAGGGTCAGAGAGAGAGAGGGAGACACAGAGTCTGAAACAGGCTCCAGGTCTGAACTGTCAGCACAGAGCCCGATGTGGGGCTCGAACCCACACACCGCAAGATCATGACCTGAGCCGAAGTCAGACACTTAACCGAGTCACCCAAGCGCCCCTGTTTGCCCTGTTTGTTGTTTTTTAAAGTAACCCCTACACCCAACATGGGGATTGAACACACAACACTGAGGTCGAGTCTTACGCTCTACTGACCAAGCCAGCCAGTAGAGTGGGTGCTCCCCAAGAACCCTTTTAATTTAATAAGGTCACCACTTCAAAAGATAAGTGAACAGCACTAAAAAAAAAAAAAAAAAAAAAAGCAGCTTAAAAACACTGAAACAAGAAGTGTGACTACAGCAGCACTTGAAGTGTCTTGTGATGATTTAGGTGTAGAGGTTGGTAGAAATTCTTAAATCTATCAATGGAAGAATGGGAGGTTTATCTAGCCCTTTCTAGATTAAGAGGGTCTCTTTCTAAGCAGTGATGCAATTTGTAAAGATAAAACTTCAGAATCACAGAAGATTAAATAAACAGGTGGGGCCATCCAGGTTGATGATATAAAACCATCCCTGAAGCTGACTGCCTCCCGATCTAACCCTGAGGCCTGAGGGCCCCCTTCCGGCATGGCTCAGGATGCCTCTCCGAACAGTAAGTGCCGCACACACCTGACTGAGGCTTCCGCTTCGGTGGTTTGGGGAAGAAATTAACGAAAAACTTAGTGGGCTGGCCACAGCGTGTGGGAGTTCCGTTTTAAAACTGTTTGTTGGGGCGCCTGGGGGGCTTAGTCGGTAAAGCGTCTGACCTTCGCTTAGGTCATGATCTCGCGGTTCGTGGGTTCGGGCCCCGCGTCGGGCTCTGTGCTGACTACCAGCTCGGAGCCTGGAGCCTGTTTCGGTCTGTGACTCCCTTTCTCTCTGACCCTCCCCTGCTCACGCTGTCTCTCTCTCTCTCTCCTAGAAATGAGTAAAAATATTAAAAAAAAAAAAAACTGTTTTTGGGGCGCCTGGGTGGCTTAGTCGGTTGTGTCCGACTTTTGCTTAGGTCATGATCTCACGGTTCGTGGGTTCAAGCCCAGCGTCGGGCTCTGTGCTGACAGCTCAGAGCCTGGAGCCTGTTTCAGATTCTGTGTCTCCCTCTCTCTCTCTGCCCCTCCCCTGTTCACGCTGTCTCCCTCTCTCTCCTAGAAATAAATAAAACATTAAAAAAATTTTTAAATAAATAAACTGTGTTTAATGTTTATTTTTGAGAGAAAGACAGTGTGAGTGGGGGAGGGGCAGAGAGTGAGTTGGGGAAGGGCAGAGAGAGAGAGAACTCAAAGCAGGCTCCAGGATCTGAGCTGTCATCACAGAGCCTGACACAGGGCTCAAGCCCACAAACCGTGAGATCATGACCTGAGCTGAAGTCAGATGCTCAACCGACTGAGCCACCCAGGCGCCGTTTGTTTGTTTGTTTGTTTGTTTGCTTTAATGCTTATTTATTTTGGTGGGGGGTGGGGAGAGAGAATCCCAAGCAGACTTCACAGAGCCCAACTTGGGGTCCAGTGTCACAAAATGTGAGATCATGACCTGAGCCAAAATCAAGAGTCTGATGCTTAACTGAGCCACCCAGGTGCCCCCCATTTTCAAACTTTAAAATAACTGTACTAGGGTTAAGAAAAACTTTTTCTTACATGATGAAAAAAATATGCTGTTTTCTATGTATTGCACTTTGGCAATTTCAGAAAGATACAGCATTCATGAACTAAACAAAACAAGATTCTTGCTTCGTGAAGGAGAGGGAGAGAGGCACACTGAAAAAAATTGCTAAATTAAAAAAAGGGGGTCAGCTAAGCATCTGACTCTTGATTTCAGCTCAGGTCATGATCTCACAGTTTGTGAGTTTGAGCCCCACATTAAGCTCCAAGTTGACAGTGCGGAGCCTTCTTGGGATTCTCTCTCCCTCTCTGCTCCCCTTCTGCTTGCTCTCTTTCTGAAAATAAACAAACAAACAAAAGAGAAACTATGGGAGGCATGAGAAATTGCAGAGACCAGAATGTCTTTGGAATCAAAGAAGCTTACAGACTTCTCCCTCAAGACTGAATTTTCCCTTGAACTTTGGATTCGTCTGTCTCACTTGTTTGTCCCTAACAAGGTCTCAAACTCAGCATGTCCCTCTATGTTTACACCCAAACTCTCCCTCCCAGAGTTTATCCTCACTGAGGACATGTCAGCTGCTCATGCAAAACACTCTAGAGAACATCCTTGACCTACTTTTCTCTCATGACCTACATCTAATCTGGCTGGAAATTCTGTTGATTTTAACTTTACAATATTTTAGGAATCTGACCATTTCTTGGTCCATCCCCACATGGCCCTGCAAGGCTATAATCTACCTCCTACCCTCCCCCCCTCCCAAGGTCTGGAATCTCACGCTTCTGCTTTATTCCAGACTGTCTAGCCCTCTGCTCTCTGTCTTTTTTTTTAAATATTTTTATTTATTTCTAGGAGAGAGAGAGACAGCGTGAGCAGGGGAGGGTCAGAGAGAGAGGGAGTCACAGACTGAAAC